ATAAAATGAAAGCAGCTTATTGACTGCTGTCAAGAATAAAAACATTCTTTCGTCGTGGTCTTACTCGACAATGAGTAATCAGAATAGGCCCTTATACCTCACTGGTAGACTCAATTATTTTAAAGCCACTTTTGTGGTTTGCTAATGAAGCACATAAAGCCGAAGTATCAAGGTATTCTTCTTTTCAACCGCCCTTCGAGACCATGATACTTCAATTTCACTGATAGAGAATCTCTTCTTTCTATCGAAACATTGTCCTTTTGTAAAGATACCGATTAAAATTGTAACTTGCGATCAATACCGTTCCCATAGAGACTAAAGAACATTTTCTTTTTTTTTTCTTTTTTTTTTTTTTTGTCAAGATGTCGCTAATATTAACTTTCTACATTTTATAATTTTAAAAGGACTCTCTGTGTGGTTCGATTAACAAAATTATTTGCAAATAATGTTCGTTTAATTTCAATATTAAACGTAAACATCGTTCACATTAAACGGTATTAAAACTTCGATGAATGATGAATATAAAAAAAATCAAATGAAAAATTGATGGATCCTTTAATTGGGTACACAAATTGGATAGGGAAAAATGAAAGAAAAACAACAAAAAAAAAAACCAAAAAAAAGAAACATGTCGATAAAAGAATAGTTAAGCGTAAGAAATTATTCCGATACTCGTAACGGTAAAAGTGTTGGTGGTACTCGATACTACTTAAGGAGTCGTGGCCCGCAAGGGCAATAGCTCGATCCCTGGTGACTCGGCAAGTTCCGATGACTCGGAAGAAACTGGTTTCTTCCGCACCATCGACGCCAGCCCGGCGTTCCCTTTATCTGCAGGCGCGAAGGGGGAAGCCCTCTTCGATGGTGAAGGTGCTCGGACGAAAAATTCGTTTCGAAACGAACCTCCGACTATCTTCAACCGTTCCTCGAGAACGTAATGAGAAAGATAGAGAGGAATGGAATAAAAGGGAGAGAGAGAGAGAGAGAGAGAGAAAGAAAGAGAATCTTATTTTGGTAGAGAAAAAAAATAAGTTCCTATTGTTAATCACTGTCATTTTACAATAAGAAACGAAATATTTGTTCGTCTTGCTATCCCATATTATTATCTCCTATAAATCTAATCCTATTGTTTTTGTTCTTTTTCTACCGCCTCTTTTCACTCCCCCTCCTCATCTATAATCTAATTATTTCATCTATATATTTCATTCTCTCTCATCCGACGATTTATAGTCTTCTCGATAAAGATGGCAGTAGTAAATTAACATTACGTAATATTGGTATTATCTCTCAGCGTTGACTGGAATGAAAGTAAAAGAAGGACCCATTCTAGATATTTTCTACGCTCGAATGGGTGAGTAATGGTAAATGGGAATGGTATGAGTAACGTTTTTGTTTTAATAGTAGTAAAAAAAAAAAAAAAGAAAAGAAAGAGAGAAATATAAAAGAGGGGTGGTACAAATCGTCCGTAAAATCTAAGATTTAACCCCATCCCGCGTTCGAGGTGACGAAATGAAGCCCTTCCATCCGTTGATATGATAAACACCCAAAATGACAGTGGCATCCTCCTCTTCATCCTCCAATGGCATCCCTCTTCTCGTTTTGCCTCACCTTCGTTCTTAGGGTTCCCTGACTCTTCGAGTTAATCACGTCAGCCAGGCAGACCCTCTGATTAAAACAGCCCTCTATCCCTCCTTCTTCTTCTTCTTCTTCTTCTTCTTACTATTATTATTATTATCATTATTATTGTTATTATTATTATTATTATTAGAGAAACCGAGTGCAGGGCAGTTAGGAAGAACAGTCAGGATAGTTTTACTGCAAATACATATCTAACTTTATTATCTACTATATCTATATAAAATTATTCTTACGTCTCTTAATGTTACGAACACTGTCCTAATCGTCAGAATACTTGAGATTATTAAATACCTAACGAGGCTAGAAATGAATCGAATTTCAGCTTACTTCTTTCTTGATTAACTTCGACCTACTTCTTACTTTTTCTCTCTCTCTCTCTCTCTCTCACTCTCTCTCTTTCTTTCTTCATTTCTTTATTCTATTCTTTCATTCTTACTTTCTCTCATCTCGAGGGAAGAACACGATGATATCTCGTCACTCGTTTTCTTCTGACATTGACGGATCGTCGCTAATGTAAGTAAAAGACGCAAATACAACATTCGAGTTGATGTCGCTAATTCTAATAAAACTAATATCATATCTTCTAACGGTAACATTTTTATTTACTCTTAACAACGAATCATCATTTAACGAAGATGAATAATCCTATATTTGACGTACATTAATTTGATTGAAAGATTTGTTGATTCTTATGAATAATTGAAAGATCAATCATTGATGAAAATTATATAACTCGTACTAAATTAAAAAAGAAATATATGTTAACATTAAAAATTGTATTCGTTTATGGTTTTAACTAATTGTAAGATGGACATAATGTTTGTAGAAAAAGGAACGTATTATATTCGAAGGACCTATCCATCAAAATTCTCTTCCTTCTTCCTCTCTCTCTCCCTCTCTCTCTCTCTCTTTCTCTTTCTTCCTTTTCCTATTTCTCTTTCTTTTCTTCCTCGAACGAGTGAACGATCTGGTTACACCAGGTAATCTATCCTTCGAACGGCCGGTCATGCTAATAAAGCCGGCAGGTATAATGTGGAACGATCGTAAATCTCGTCGGTTCAAGGTACAACCTCGCTCGCACAAGTGCAATACGTCGGTAGCGTAACGAGGACGTAAGTTTCAAGACGCGTACTTGGACTTCTAAGGAAACCCGTTACACCAGATGCTTCACTTCGAAAATATCTGTAAGATCATCCCTGTTGTTCCAATCTTATGCGTCGATGATGTTATTTAAGAAGATTATCAAATTTCTGCCTAACCGATATTATCTTTCTCTATAAATCTTTACTTTTGTCAGTTTATTTACCATGTTTTATTTTTCTTTTTATTTCGTCATTTTCTATTCCTTGTAGCTCGAATCTCTTTATATATATATATAAATTTTTAATATTTTTAAATAATAAATATCATTAAATTAATAAAATTATTAATTAATAAATATTATTAAATTAATAAATATTATTAAATATAATAATTTAATAAATAATAATATTTATATAAAATATAAAGAAATATAATTAAACAAAATAACTAATGACATTGTTAATAAATTTAAATGAAACATATCGTGTTTGTAAAATTTATTACAAAATAAAAACAAATAACTTTATAGGTACCATTTTACTTATACTTATAATTTTTTCTAATATTATCTCTCAATATTACGAATATATTAGTTCACCTGTTTTTTTTCCTATGTATTTGAAATGTTTTTCTTTTTCATTGCTTTCCATAAGTTGTAATTTGTCTGTATCTACAAAAAAAAAAAAAATTAATAATATGTAAAATTGATATTTGTATTTCTATCTTTATCTGTCTCTAGATTTGTAATATCTTTATCTTCATCAATCCGTTTTACTCACATTCACTCTATATTCGCTTTGAGCATTACGAAATGGTTCGTCGTAGGTCCCTACCTACTTACCTACCTGCCAGCCCGATGATTGCTGCCTTGCACGGGTTAATAGCAGCCGTGAACATAACGAAGGGTTATGTGGATCGCAAGTTTGTTATTGGCTTGCTTAATGACCCGTCCAGCGCATTCTACCTGTCTGAGACCGGATGCGTGCTACTGCATCCTCGCGAATAGTGACTACGAAAGCAAGAGAGAGACAGACGCAACATGAAAGATAGAGAGAGAGAGAGAGAGTTATAGTGAGAAGGAAGGGATGAGAAGGATAGAAAGTGTGGTCCAGGAATGAAACGAAAAGTTCGTGATCCGAATTTTGTCTGTAGAAAATGAGAAACATTGGCGTGTAATAATGGTATGCCGATAACGTGACGCATGACACATGTATTTAACGATACCAATAACACGCTCGAAATAAAATTCAATATGATGAAACATATGGAAGGCTCGTGTTATATGACACATATGATATATAAAAAAAAAATTAAAAAAAAAAAACACAGAGAGAAATAAAGGTTAAAACGTCGATGAATTTGTAATTAGATTGAAAAAAAAAGAAGTATATAATATTTACAAAAATTTCGTATTATTTTTTTTTTTATTAAAATGATATTACCTAAAATTATTAATAAATAAAAAAAGAAAGAAATCCTGACGATTGCAACAATACTACAAACAGAATATGTTTCTCTTATGGTCAATTTTAAAAATCCGACATTTGATTCCTATGTCGAAAAAGATTAATTACAGTTATTTCTTAGTTGTACGAAGTAGAGATATAAAAAGAAAGATAATTGAAATAGAGTCGTATCGTTAGTTAAAAATAAAAAATATGAGAAACGGAGAAAGGACCTAGGACCTACTTACGATTCTAATGAGTCTCGTTCTCGCGCTCTTATGACTATACAAGCACGAGCGATATTTCGTGATTCGGTTCGTTACATCTAATTGACGGGGCAATGTAAACGATCTCTTTACTCTATGTACTCTTATAACCAAGAAATAGAGAAAGAGAGAGAGAGAGAGAGAGAGAGAGATAGAGAAAGCTTACGACGAACAAACGCATTATGTATATATATATATATATATATATATTACAAATGAACGAAAAGAGATGTCGGATAACGACGAAACTAACTAACGAACGAACGAACGAACGAACGGAACTACATGAGACGTTTCACTTCGTCGAGATGAATGCTTTGCGAACACTTTCAAAGGTCTACAAAACACCATATGTAAAATTCGTTAAGCAATCGAAAGTGTATCGAGAAATCTATATACATATATATAAGTGTAGAAGTTAATAGTAATAAATCGTATAAAAGAGATAAAAAAAAAAAAAAAGATAGAAGAAATAATATATGCACACATACTAGAATTATTGTATAAATGTATGTCGTGATTCGTTCACCTATAACATAGCGTATAATCATGGGCATTTATATTCACTCACCATTGATATTAAGCGAGGATTGATCCACGCCTGCTGCATGTTATCGTCAAGATACCTCTTTGCTATTCGAGCGATGTTTTCATGGGACTCCTTTTTTTGTGATTGTGATTGTGATGGTGGTGGTGGTACTACAACAGGCGGGCCTACGTCGAAGTTGGCATTGTTTCTAAAACAGAAAATGCGTTACGTGTGAAGCAACGTATACTAAACATATTACAACTGTGTACACTGTCGACTAAAAGTGTTATAATAACTACGTAAATTTAGAAATACATCATATTAATATTTATTCACGAAAATAAATTACCTTTGAAGTAACCATGATTGATTTTTAAATTATCAATAATATTTGTAACATTTTTAATTATATCATTTGATCAAATTGTCCTTTCATAAAAAAAAAAAAAAAAAGAAAATATCGACTTTATTTTTAATAACACCCTGTTATTTATTACTTTTTCGAGTGTTACTTGAAAAAATGTTCAAGTAGGAAAATTCATTTCAAGCATTGCCTTATAAATTGGATTTATCAACTATACAACTGTATTTTGGATATTAGAAAATACTGAAATATCTTAAATCATTATTCATCTCATTAATATTTAATATAATAACGGTATATATTCAATGTTTACGGTAATCAGCAAATGACTCCAAACTTTTGGCCTTTAGTGTATAGATGTATGTATGAATATAAGTATGTATATATTATATGCATGATATATGTATGTACGTTCAAAGATCTCCAATGGTAGGCGTGATGCATCGAGAAATCGTGATTACTCGTTATGCCGCATAAATCGATTTGTAAAATTGCTCGAGGAGAGAAAATACTTACGTGCGAAATGTTCGAAAAAGGAAAATTGTACCTACCTATGTATATATATATATATAGTTATATATATATATACAGCTAGATATATGACGATACATGCAAAAGCATGAATTCTCAAGGATCGCTTTAAACATCCTTTTCGAATTACTTCGCCATAAAGAGAATTTAATTGCGTCAGCTAATGTCCTCCTTTTGGTAATAAATAATGATCATCGGCTTTCTTTGTAGTCAGCAATATGCTATATGACGATTGAGAGAATCCTTTTTGAGAAGTAACATCTTTCAATGTGATTACAATAAAGAGAATAAATATTGAGACACAGAAAGAGAGGAAAAGAGAAAGAGAGAGAGAGAAAGAATTAAAATACAATGCAAAGGTAGTATAACTTCAGTTCGTCACGTTATTTCAAAGATACTGTATTTATTTTTTATATTATCTTCAAAATGTATTTGATTGTAACATTCATATAATATAAAAATATTTGTCAAAATTGGACGAAATAAAAAAAAAAAAACTTATATAATTGTAATATTTATCTATCTTAGTATTTTCAATATTTTCAACATATATTTTCATTTTATTTATAACATTATGTTTCAAAGTACTTTTAAAATATCGTTTTAAATAATCAAAATAAAACGAAAACTTTTATGTTTTACGATCCAATAATTACAATTTCGATTTTTAATTCGGTTTCATCTGAATAAGATTATCTTCTTTGGTGGAAACTCTCTCTCTCTCTCTCTCTCTTTCTCTACGATTAACTCGAAGATAAATTATTAACAGGAAAAGGACGTCTGCTCATGTGAAGCAGTAGAATCATTATAGAACAAGAGAACACGAAATTAACGATCCCCTGTACATCGACCATGCGTCAAACTGAATCCATTGTGTAACGGCAATACCATCAGCATCGTCAGTCAACGAGCATCATCATCATCATCGTTGCTTCGGTCATCTACGTTGTCTGACCGCGCAGAACCAGAAGGGAATCATTACGGATAGAATAGTCACGGTATGCGATATCTCGATTGGATGGCTACGAAAGGGAGTGCAAAAGGTAAATTGCTATGCACACACACAATATACATACATACGTATCATTGAAGTTATTTTCTATCACGTTCCATTTCTATTATTAAGTAATATATTATCTAATGGTTCATCTTGAAAATTTCTTTAAATAATTATAAATACAGATTTTCGTAAGTTGAGACATTTATTTGGAAAGTGTCCTAACTCAATTTTCCAAAAACATCGAGTCAGATATCGTAATAGTTATATTTTTATATGATCTTCTCATTCTGAAACAATTTGTTACTAATATATAATTAGTATATTATGCTAATAATATATTTGTTATTAAACTTTAATTATAATTAAATATATAACAATAAATTATATAATTGTTATTAAAAATAACATTATATTTATTATGCTAATAAAATATGATTTGCAATCGACAACTTCTCGCACTAGTTGCATATACTATTTTTTATTATGAATGCCAAGACATATTTGGTACATAATTGGGGTCCAGGGGCAGAGCCCCGGCAGGGTGTTGGGGGGCGGAGCCTCCCCTCTCCACAAAACAATACTGAAAAAGTTAAAAAATTTTAAGTAAATTTATTTGCATAACGGATAAATCGAAATCTCTTGAATAGATTGTTTGTAAATGAATTTAATATAAGTGAATATAAAAATGTAATAATAAAGGTCAATTGTAACACGTTACTAAAACAGTAATCAGTGAGTGGAAATAATTCAATTTCGCTAGGTAACCGTCTGTAATCTATTTGCGAACAACCAGAGACAGCGTGATCGTAATCCGTACTTACTACAATATCGTGTAAGAGAGAGGTAAGTGAATTACGAGTTCAACCTAACTCTGTTGTCCTGTGCACGCCGTCGCGTCGTCGCGAAATAGCTGTTAGTTTAGGTCTCCTTAGTTAAATTATGACCAGAACCATCCCCAAACCGAAGAGATAATTGACCGTTCACGGATTGACGCTTTTCTAACAAAACATCAATAATTCCTACAACGTGTTACAACTCGTCAAAGTTTCGGTAGGATGAAATCCTAGTAAAATAGTACCGTTTTCTCTATTTGGAGAAAAAAGAACAAAAAAAGATACCTTTTTCTTTCATCTCACGTCTTCATCACCGTGATTTGACATCGGTTTTTACCTCAAAAGATATCATAACTTTAACAATTACAAAATATAATAATGGACAAAATATAGAATGGTGAAAATAAATTAGACATTTTTTTTTTTATTTAATTTATTTCTTCCTTTACAATATATTTAAATTATACCATGTTTTTTAGTTAAAGTATATTTTAAATAAAATATTTAAAAATATTAGGAGAAACTGCAGGAAACAATTGAAATATAATTCGGAGTGCAAAGGGTTAATCTTTACCGTGTAATAATTATAAAATATATTAATATATTATTTTTTTATTACTATTAATATTTCTATATTATATTAATATTATATATAAATATATGTATTATATAAATATATAATATTAATAATATAATAATATAATAATAATATAATAATATAGAAATAATAATTAATATTTATATATATAATATTATATTAGTAATATTATACATATAAAAATATTCTAACATTACTATTTTAAATTATTTTATAATATTATAATGTTATATTACTACGTGGTAAAAGATTCAATGTGAAATATGAAAAACATTAAATAAGATTTTTTAATGTAATAACACGAGATCCAACCATTTCTCATTTTATCTCATGGATTTCATCATAAAGCTATAAACAAATTATATAGCTCTCTACGATTACTAAAATACATACATACATACATACATACATACATATATAAATACATCAGTACATTGAACTTAAAGGTTCTCCTATATTCATCGTAATCAAAAAGGAAGAGAGAAACTTATAGAACAAAACTATTTGAAAACACGTCATATTACATCCTAGGTTTCTATTCTTTCCCTTTGGATATAACAGGTTCTTCTTCGATACAATATGACCTTTATCGTAGGAGACTGTATTCAGGAAGCTCTCCCAGAGTTGAGAATATTTATGATGGCCGAGTAGTTCGCGCGAAAAAGAAACTTCTTCTTGAGATTTCAAAAGCGATGAAAAATTCGACAAGTAAAGAAGAAAACTTTTCGCAATCGTAAACTTTTATTTCTTTTCTCCTGATATCTATCATATTATATGCAAGATCATTGTGAAACAACCAATAAATATATATTTATGTTATTTACGTAAAAATAAAAGAAAAGTAATGTACAAAAATGATAGATACTTTTTTCAATCAAAAAGATAATTTTGTATCTTCTTATATCTCAATATAGATATGTAATATTATACGACACTATATCATTGTGAAATATAATCAAAATATATTTATGTGAATATGAAAGAAACGAAATATTCATAGAGATTGATATTTTTTTTAATTAAAAACATCATTTTATATGTTACATCTCAATGTTGGCGAATACGTTGTTACGATCGTTATATATTTTGTTATTTCTTTTTTCGCAATTTATTTTCTTCTGTAGAAACGAACATTACGTATTCGTATATGCCAAAGTATGTAATGACGTTGGTCGAAGCAAAGCAGTAGATGAGAGTGTCAGTGAACATGGAATATATCGTGCTTTTACCAAGTACACCTCGTGTGGATTGCCAAGATAAGTGTGGGAGGTAATAATACTGGAAGAAAGAGTAGCCATCTACAAGCTGAGTAGACAGCAGACACACCATACGAGTAAAGAAAAAAACATTAAAGAAAGAAGAAGAAAAAAAAAAGGAAAGTAAAAGAAGAAGAGAGAAAGTAACAAACAGTAAAGATCAAGAGACATGGCTCAAGATAATCTTCATAGCAACGAACATATATACTCTTTTTCTGCACATCCTCTCTTGAGATTTACGGAACCTGGAAAGTTGGATGAATCGACCAACAAAATCCGTCTACCTTCGTATATTCCAAATCTTGTTACATCTTGGAACCTGATTTCTTTCTGACAAAGTTTCCTATTTCTTTTGTAGAATACCATTTGAATTAAATAAAAAAACATTAAACATCAACATTTCTCTTTCATATAATTTTGTTATTTTGTATACATAAACTAACTATATCAGAACTATTCTATATAACTATATATAACTAAGTATATAACTATATTATATAGTAGTACTAGGGGTGCCCCGCCACGCGTTGCTGTGGCTCACAATCAACAACGAATTACCTTATACCGCCATCTGTTAGAATCTTATCGAACTAACAGAGATAATCATGACTCTTTGTTAATAAACA